CTTGTGACACACGGGGATGGGGGCAGCCAGCGCTCAACCTGTCATCCACGTGGCTGGCCTTGTACGTAAGAGGTTATGAACAGGTGGAGCTTTCCTTACCTCCTTCCCTTTCCCTTTTTTCCTTTTCCTTTTTTCTTTTTCCTTTTTTGCGCTCTGATTCACAATGTGACAATATATTGTCACAAAGTTATCAGAGCGCAAAAGCGAAAAAAACAAAAGGAAACAAAAACATATCAACTCGTTTTTAATCCTCTTCCTTACAACTCCCCCTGTTCAGAACCTCTTGCGTACAAGGCCGCCCACGTGGATGTAGGTTGAGCGGCGGCTGCCCCCACCCCCGTGAGTCATATCGACCCACTTGCACACAGCCAAAGGGCAAAGAGGCAAATAAAAGAGGAAGGGAACAGCCAAATACAACAAAACAGGGGGCAACAAGCAACAGCACCGAAAACGGATCCTAGATGACAAGTCCCACATGCAAGCACCGCCCCTATGTAGTTGTTAATTACTACATGTATATGTATATATGTAGTTGTTAATCGCTATATATACAGCCCATGGTGTGTTGTTGTCCTCTTCGCCCTCTCTGCCTACGGTTTACCGGGCAGCTCTGTTCGACGATACATATATGTAATACTGTATGTTGAAGATATATATCACGTATGGATATGTATTGTCACACTGTGAATCAGAGCGCGAAGGCGAAAAAGAAAAGCAAAACAAGAAAAAGGAAAAGAAGGAATGAAGGAAAGCCCCACCTGTTCATCACCTCTTACGTACAAGGCCAGCCACGTGGATGGCAGGTTGAGCACTGGCTGCCCCCATGTACACACGGGGGTGGGGGCAGCCGCCGCTCAACCTACATCCATGTGGGCGGCCTTGTACGCAAGAGGTTCTGAACAGGGGGAGTTGTAAGACAGAAAATAAAAAAACGAATTATTATTTTCTTGTTCTCTTCTGTTTTTTTCGCCTTTGCATCTCTGATATTCATGTGACGATCTATCAATCTATCTATCTATCTATCTATCGCAAACCGAAGTGCCCGTAAACCGTAGGCCAAGAGGGATAAGATGACAATAAACGAGGGGCTCTGACAGACTGTGTCGTCGGAGTTTCACCGATATAAACCATCAGTGGTAGACTAAGTTACCTTTGATGGTAATATTGAGCGCATCATGGGGTAGGCAGGTGCTTGCCATCTGATTGTCAACGAAGCCATCGCCATCGCGCGATGACCTACCTTGCTCTGCCATAGGCTGTTTCTCTTTCCCCCTTTTCTCCGCCTCCTCCTCTCCTCCTCCTCCTCTTCCTCCTCCTTGTTATATGAGACTTGTACGTGAGGAGTTGGAATGTTCTGCTTGAGAAGCATGTACGAATGGCAGCTCTGACCACTGCTTGTCAATCTTCCGTTATCACTTCAATTTGTCATAGGGAGTCATCAGATCGAGTAGAGGATCCAAGCAGGATCCGAACTGTTGATCTGTTTACATGTAAATATATAGGTAATGTGCGCATTACAGATAAACGAACAATTTCCATTACGTTTCATTAGGGGATCCCTTAAAAGGAAAGCACAATATTCTCTGTGTGTGTGTGTGTGTGTGTGTGTGTGTGTGTGTGTGTGTGTGTGTGTGTGTGTGTGTATGTGTGTGTGTGTGTCCCTCCCTGTCTTGCTGTCCATCTTTCTATAAAGCACAATCCTCTGTCTGTCTCTCTCTCTCTCCGTCTCCTTCTCTCCACAACCCTGAGTTTTCCTCTCTCTCTCTCTCTCTCTCTCTCGATCTCGAAGTGAAGGGGGGGCTGCATTTTCATTTCGGTCTATTTTTGACAAGTCTGAGGGCAACGGGCCCCGGAGGTGGTTGCTGCAATGCAGCATCTTCAACTACCCATTAGGGCTGACACGACAGTTGAAGATGCATGCTGCACGGCCTCAGATGCTGACGCCCAGGACCCCTACAATTGAGCCACAGGCACAATCTGGAAGGGCACCGGGGCGCAGCTACTGGGACAGGGGGACCCTCGCCCGCCAGCAAGCACACTTTCCTTAAAGTGTGGTTGGCAACAGCCAGACACATTCTGGCCTGCCAGTTCATGCGGCAGCCCTGCTGAAGTGCACACCGGGCATGAGAGCTGTCTGGAAGGGCACACACTGCCGCACACTGCGACAGGGTGCATAGCTGCAGGGCGCAGCTATGGCCCTGAACATAAGGCATACGCATTATGCACAAATACAGTGCATACAATGTGCATTGTATTCGTTTAATTTGCATATGCGTTTAGTTCGCATCTGCGTTTTGGTCGAGATGACGAGAGCAAGGGTCTCGTGGCATGGCACATGAAACGAAAACGAAACGAGTGCATCTGCCCACGAAAGTTGGCAAAATGCACTCGTTACTATTTATAGCAAACCCATGAACCTGGCCATTTTCTGCCGGAAGATGCACTCGTTTCGTTTTTCGTTTCGTCTCCCGTGCGGCCACGCCCCAAGTTTACCAGCACAAGGGGGCCAGGTCCAGGCTGAGTAGGCTGAGTATTCTGGACTCTTTTTTTTTTGTTTATTTTGGGACCATTTCTCGATTTATGTGTGTCATCCTTGAAAGCGCAGGGGCCATCCATGCTAATCTTCTCTTTCTCTGTATCGTTCCAATTTTAACGGATGTCCCGAAGGACAGTTCTGGACTGCGGGGGAGGGCCTCGGAGCTCTGAAAGAAATGGAAAGAAAATGTCTGTGTTGTTGTGCCTTTCCATGTTCCTTTCAGCTCCTTGGTTAACAGGTCCAAAACTGTCCTTGGTTAACAGGTCCAAAACTGAAATTAGGATTTGGGGGTCAAATTTAAGACGGTGTCCAATCTATGAATTGGTGCCAAGTGTGGGTAAAATGACCCTTGGGGGGGGGGGTTGTTATAAATGGCACGACAAATTGTCTGAAAATTTAGGCCTCCTTTAACCATCTCTCTCGGTAATAGAGAGGGACACACTGAGGTGGCGAGTCTGGTGGGCGAGGTCCTGAAGTTGAAAGGGGGATGGAAGAGCTGTCCGATTGTGTTAGTTGATGATTAATGAGACTTTCGTCCTCGTCTCCACTTCTCTTCTACCTTGACTTATTTTTTCCAGGTACTTGCTGCTGGCATTTGAGACTACATTATGTGTCATGAGACTAGATACAATGCATGATTCTGCTGCTGAAAGCTTCTCATGAGTTTGAGTTCATCACACCTAAATGATTAATCAGCAACTGTATATTACGGCATTATCACCCTCTTCGTTTTTTTCCAAAAAAAGAGCGACGGCCTTGAGATATCTTCAATGGACTGACCGGCCCCTCTCTATTCATCCGGGCTTGTCCAAAAGCATCAACCCCAAGCATAGAGAAAGGATCGC